GGCAGAGCTATAAGAAAACATTGGCACTCAATCGAAGAAAACATTGGCACTCAATCGAAGAAAACATTGGCACCTAATCGAACAAAACAACTTAAAGGAAAAAAAGATTAAATCAAAAGAATATGAAGAAATATAAAAAAAAAAAACAAAGAAAGAGAGAGAGAGAGAGAGAAACGAGTGTATAAACAGGTGTCGTATCCCCATACATAAAAATAAAATTTGAACCATTCTTAATATTACAAAAAGGGGGATACCTGATGAGGATAGGCGACTTAACCGAAACACCTTTTATATTACAAGGAACACAGACTCAGCTCTGTGATTCTTTTCTAAGAATAACAACACCCATGATTTGAATTACAAGCACGTGTGAGTTTCTTTAAATTTACAAAAATAGATGTTGAAAAAAGTATTCCATAACAAAAAAAATATTATCGTACATTGAGTAAAGTAATTGTAGATAACTAGAAATTCAAACATATACATAGAAAATAGGAATCATTACAAAGGATTATAATAAGATATACTGGATTGGTCCTGGACCCGACTGATTTTAATATAAAAACAGTTAACAGCGTTCTGACCATTAACAGCTAACAGTGGTAATTTTTTTTCATAAAAACAGTTAACAACAATGTCAGTTTTAAGAAAACAGATAATGTTCAGCTAATTAGTCATGTTAGTCAATAAAAGTTAACAGCAAATATATTTTCAAAGTAACAGTTGACAAAAGTTTAAAAATGCCTTACTAATATAAACACCTTAACAGAAAAGATCTTGTCCCGCTTCAAATAACGGTTATGATTTTTGCTTGATTAAAACTGGGAATAGTATACCAGATATTATATGTCTTTGAGTATACTAATATATATTATGTCGCGGATTAAAACAATAAATTTGAATTTAAGTCATGGGACCAACAAAGGTATAAACAGAGACATATATATGCATGTCTCTGGTATAAAGGAATATAAGCAGAGATATATGTAGGATATGGGGACGCTGAAGTGCGATGGTCACGCTGAAGTGCGATGGTCTACGCCGAAGTTTGATGGTCCGTTCGCTGATGTGCGATGGTCTATATGACGCGTGATAGCTAGTTTAAAATCTACAGATGTGCAATTATAAAGAGCAGTATAGTTGGTATATAGATTAGCATTCATTATTGTCTATGTATGTCATTTGTTACAGTTGCATACAAAATGAACGATAGTCCTCTTTGATTTTCTGCATGTGGACATAATTCTGAGATGACATTTATCTGTAAATAAAATTGAGAATGGAAATGGGGAATGTGTCAAAGAGACAACAACCCGACCATAGAGCAGACAACAGCCGAAGGCCACCAATGGGTCTTCAATGCAGCGAGAAACTCCCGCACCCGGAGGCGTCCTTCAGCTGGCCCCTAAACAAATATGTATACTAGTTCAGTGATAATGGACGTCATACTAAACTCCAAATTATACACAAGAAACTAAAATTAAAAATGATACAAGACTAACAAAGGCCAGAGGCTCCTGACTTGGGACAGACGCAAAAATGCGGCGGGGTTAAACATGTTCTTTGTTCCTCTCACGAGATCCTCGTTTACCGTTATATTAGGAGAGTCTGTGGACCCCGTATGTATTTAGAGAATGCCACGCTCCATCGTACGTAACTTGAAAAAAACTTTCGTAGAAAAAAAATCCGCTACAGAAGGTTTACTTTTCCCTCTCCCCCGATCACACCCCATTTCCCGGAGTATTAAAGGTGTATAAGTTTATTTATTTTGTATTTACATTGTATCATAGATCAAATTTATTTGTTCAGTGTATATTCACTGGGGTTAATATGTCTTTTGATTGAGTTAAGCCATTTCAATTGATATTTTATAGTGTGTCTTTCTATGTTGTGATGTTACACTATTGTTTCAGATAAGAGTGAAGATTTGGTACCATTAAAACGTTTAAACCCGCTACAACTGTTTGCACCTGTCCTAAGTCATGAATCTGATGTTCAGTAGTTGTCGTTTGTTGATGTGGTTTATAAGTGTTTCTCGTTTCTCGTTTTTTATATAGATTAGACCGTTGGTTTTCCCGTTTGAATGGTTTTACACTAGTAATTTTTGGGGCCCTTTATAGCTTGCTGTTCGGTGTGAGCCAAGGCTCCGTGTTGAAGATCGTACTTTGACCTATAATGGTTTACTTTTATAAATTTTGACTTGGATGGAGAGTTGTCTCATTGGCACTCATACCACATCTTCTTATATCTATATAAGCCCTTTATTAACTTAAAAACCCGAAAACTGCTTCTAACAAACAAATTGCCTGACTTCGAAATCAGAAAAGCATTGCAAATATAGTTTATGTAGTCCATCTCACTTCAGCGTCACCACCATCGCGCTTCGGCGTAGCTATCAAGAAGATAGCGTCACAATGCCACCATCGCACTTCAGCGTCAAACCATGCATCGCACATCAGCGTGACCATCGCGGTTCGGAGCACCATCGCGGTTCAGTGTCCTACATATATGAAATAATTACAATGTATTATTTGTCTCTGATATGTATACTTAAAAATTTATTAAAGAAAAAATGAAAAAAACATCTGACTTTATATTTAAATTTAAATCGGCCGGATACATACATTGAAACGTTGAATTCACCCATTTCATGTAAAGAAGTCAGAAAAGCTATGAAATCCTTGAAAAATAATAAAAGCGGAGGTATTGACCTTATTCTCAATGAATTTTTGAAATATGGTGCAAACAGCTTAATATTGCCACTAGTAAAACTCTTTAATAAAATTTTTGAATCTGGTATATTTCCAGAAATTTGGAATATTTCAACTATCTCAACTTTACATAAAAGTGGTTCCTTCTATGAATGTAATAACTACCGTGGAATAAGTATTGGAAGCTGCTTAGGAAAGCTATTTACCAAATTATTGCAGTATAGAATATTAATCTAAATATATCCAATTACCTTGAAGAAAACAATTTAATTGAAGATAACAAGCCGGTTTTAGGCAAGATTATAGAACTACAGATCAAATATTTATTTTAAAAACACTGTTAAATAAATACTTACATAAGCTAAAAAAAACTATATTTGTATGTTTTGTTGACTTTTGTAAGGCATTTGATTCAGTTTGGAGAGAAGCTATGTATTTCAAATTAAGAGAAATTGGAATAACAGGGAATATCTTTAATGTTATAAAAAATATGTATTCGAACACATTTTTCTGCATAAAACCGAATAATTTTATAACCAATCCAATTAAAAATGATAAAGGTGTAAAACAAGGAGACAGTCTTAGCCCTACACTATTTAATATTTTTTTGAATGATTTAGGTAAATGCTTTGATGACCAAGACAACTCCTATCCATTAGATCTAGGAAATCATAAAATCAATCATCTACTATTTGAGGATGATCTGTTACTTTTATCAGAAAATAAAGAAGGTCAACAACATTGTCTTAACAAACTTAACTCCTACTGTACTACATGGAAATTACAAATTAACTTAAATAAAACCAAAATAATGATTTTTAGCAAAGGCAAAAAAGATTATTCAAAATATAATTTTTATCAAAATAATTCACAAATTGAAATTGTGGAACGATACAAATATTTAGGTATTGTATTTTATTTCAATGGAAATCTAAAACATGCCGCAGATGATCTCTATAATAAAGCTCTAAAAGCCTTTTTCTCTTTTAAAAGTAAATTTAATAACTTGCAAGAGGTACCATTGAAAACCTGTCTTAAACTTTTTGATAGTCTAATTAAACCTATTTTCACATATGGTAGTGAAATATGGTTATCCGATTATAACATAAATTAAAGTAATTTTGACACTCTACCAGTTGATAGATTACAACACAAGAGATGTTGAAATCTATTCTGGGGGTCAAAAGACAGTCATCAAATATGGCTAGTATCTTGAATGTAACAGGAATCCAATGTTGATTTTTTCATTATGTTTAATGTATAATTATTATATGAGACTACTTGAAATAAATAGAGATAGAATATTATATAGTGCATTTACTGCAGATCAAGAATTATCTCAAGAAAAACTCAAAATGCTGGTTATCTACCCTAAGTAAAGTATTTACAGTACTTAAACTTGATACAACAAATTTGACAATTAATAGTGTTTTTAAAAATAGTCTAATAAGATACTATAATCAGCAATCTGACTTACAACTACAAAAAATCAAATCTGGAGATGTGGACAGTAAACTGATGCTTTTCAGTAATATGTTTGTTCCAAATTTTGTTCCCTACTATCGTCAAACCAATCTTACCAAAAATATAAAAAGTAAAATTACACAACTACGTATCAGTGCTCATTGTTTAAATATAGAACGGGGTAGATATAATAAACCCAAAATTCAAAGAGAACAACGTTTTTGAAATTTTGCACTGAAGTAGAGACTGAAGAACATTTTTTGATATCTTGTGATAAATTTAAAGATATAAGGCAAACTTTTTTCCAATCTTATGGTTTAGATTTAAAAGATTCACATAATAATTATTTTTCAGTTTCTAAACTTTTAAATCCACAAAATATTACTGAATGTAATTATTTATACAAATTTATTAGAGATGCATTAGAAATAAGAAACAATTCTTAAAAATATGGGTACAATTACATGTAAAACTTTGAAATGTTGTTTTGTATATTATCATATGATTTGTAATGGAGAACACTAATGTAATATTAGTTATCTTAATAAAGAACCTGAATCTGAAATCTGAATCTACTTACTAAGTAAATAAATATAAAAAAATTGTTAAAAAATTGTATGTAGTAAGCGATGCTATGTAATATACATTTGAAACTTAATTTAGCTTTGAAATACCATAATTCTACAAATATCCTTAACCTAATATCTAAGATACTCTATTCTTTCGTTTGGTAGTGATGTTGGATTTTAGTGTGATAATACTAATTTAGAAATTATGTAGTTTGAGACCGCCCAAATGTTTATCTGACCCCATAATACGTCGCGCACTTGGTACTTCCGCTATGGAGTGAAGAATATCACATCAATACACATCACCTGCTATTTAACGATTAATTACTTGATTAAGCAGTTAATTAAAACCTGCACGGTCTATTAAACTCTCAAGGCAGTTCAAGGAAAGCCTACCTGACATGACACTGGCCATCAAATAACTTGTAAGTTTAAGTTTATGCAATGATAATGACATTAACAACTGTTTGGAGCATGCTAAACTTTAAAATGTTTTGCACTTTCCTTCAAGTGGAAAGACTGGCACTTGTTCCTGTACGAAAAAGAAACTCCATATTCCTCAAAATAAATGAATATATAATGTATATTTTTTTCATTACAGAAGCAAGTGCCTGTGAGGAAGATTTTTTATTAGCAAGTTGTTTTAATAATAGTAAATTACTTTTAGCTTCATTAAAAGAATGTAGTAATATATATTTATTTGTCTGAAAACATAAACATTAGACATGTCAATGATGTCATTACATAAATATAAAGAACAAATACTAAAAAAGTTAAAGCGAGGAAAAATACATGTGCTGGCGGTCCTCTAAAATTACATGCCAAGAAATCCTCGCTAAAAAATTCCGGTCTACCTCCTACGGCACTCATTAGTAGCTAAAGATTTGATTTCATTCAACAAATTAATTTATGACCTTCATGTACGTGTCGCTTAGAACACGGCCATATACCAAATGGTCAATATTAATCATCCATGTAATTTGCTCTATGGGGTGTTTGCAGAATTTCAACGGAGGCATTTTCTTGGCATGGGAGAAAGGAAGAAAGACCATTCACAATTTGTCTTACATTTGTTTTTCTCTTTTTTAATTAAATAAAAAAAAAAAAACCTTTCAAATGTAAGAGTTCTAAAGATAAAAATATTCCCTGTGGAACACCTCCCCTCCCCCTTTTTTTGTGCTCTCTATTTTCAACCCTCGAATTAAGCTTTCCAATCTAATTAAAATTAAAACCTTGCTTTCTAACCAATCTATTCATGTACCGGACCGGCAATTTTCTTTATTTAATACGAAAATCTGCAGTGCCTTTATACACATGCATGTTGTTTGCTTGGAGGCCCCGCCCGAAAAGAAAGAAATAGCCCAACTCCAAGATACTATATTCCTGCATCACGTGATTTTTACCACGTGGAGCTTACATTTGAATAAATACCGAATATGGAAAGTGAAACTACAATTCAAAACATAAAGTCCGAAGGCACAAATAAGAAAAAGAATGTTTTTTTTTTTGCAAAGGGTGCCGGGGTAATTCTCTCTGTGTTCAAAATATACATGAAATATTTGCCACTGCCACTTTTCTTTCTATGAATTCTAACCCTGAGTTTTCTATCTGTTACATGCCAAGAAATCCTCGCTAAAAATTCTTGGCATGAAATATCTGCCGCACAACTTGACAATTCACTACTGGAAAAAATATACAACAAATACAATCAAATGATATATATATATAAAGGGAGGGAGAGTAAAAATTTTTAGGTCTGATTACTCTAAATATTTCTAATGTAATGAGGAGAAAAACAATTCCCTTTAAAATGGAGTGAACACTAATCAAAATTTAGGTTTGCATGAATGTCTAATGATCAGCCAAACATGGTAACTAGAACACATTTTGAAAATTCTACATCGTAATTACTAGTTTTTTAATGAAAAAACAAACCAATTCTAATTATAGTCTACATTTCATTATTTTGACCTCAAGTCATCTTTATGTTAAATACTTGAAATTAAGGATACTACTTAACGTAGAAGATCACTTTATAACTTGATCTTTTCCTCAATTTTGATGACTTGAAAATTTATATCTATGACAAACGTCAGGATTTCTAACTTTCCAATTGACAACTTCATATTTCTGAGCAGCAACATAACCTCTGCTCCATCATATGGCGTTTACACATCTCAGTTAATACGTTTAGACTGTGCATGTTCACACTATATGTACTTTATTAACATGGGTGTGCTCCTTGCACAAAAACTGCAACAATGGAACTATGAGGAAGAACGACTGAAATACAATTACGAATTGGTTGACCGATACGATGTGTCAGTGTCTCAAATCACTAGCAACATTTTTGCCTGACATAGACCTTTTGCAGTCTTAGATCTTAGATTTTACCGATTGTGTCCCATCACTGACATGTCTGATTGTGACAGTTATTTGATGGTAAGAAGTAAACATTACCTAACATAAACCTGAGTGACATTTTATAAACAGAACTTTGCAAGGCAGCCTAGTCATGTGATTATAATTCTGTCAAGTGTTATGTATGGTTTGCACCACTTAAATGTTGGGTAAACCATGTTCAATATAGAGTGTTTTTACAACAATGCACTTTGTCTGATATAATTTATTTTAGATTCTGTTATTTTCTCATCACTTGTCCGTCTTCATCTGTTAACTTTTACTAAAATCTTTTCCTCTGAAACTACTAGGCCAAATTTAACAAAACTTGGCCACAATCATCATTTGGGAATGTAGTTGAAAAATGTGTCCGATAACCCTGCCTGCCAACCAAGATGGCCAACATTGCTAAAAAAAGAACATATAGGTAATAAAATAGTTTTGTCTATTATTTTGAAAACCACTATCAATGAAGGAAATCTGAGAGGGGCAAAAATGTTGAGCTCTACCTATTGTCCATTTATGTCAAGACTGTCAGATGACTCCTTATAGGAGTTATTATCCTGAAATTACAAATTTTACAATTTCAAAAAAAAAATGTGAATACTTGAAGATTATAATAGATAGACAGAAACTTTAAATAGCAAAAATTATCAGCAATACAAGATCTACAAATAAGTCATCATGACCAAAATCGTCAGACAACTCCTCATTAGAGTTAATGCCCTTTAATGATGATTTTTGTCGAGCCTGCGACTTTTGTCGCAAACGAAGACATAGCGATCCTACATTCCGTCGGCGGCGTCCACAAATATTCACTCTGGTTAAAGTTTTTGAAATTTTAATAACTTTCTTAAACTATCCTGGATTTTTACCAAACTTGGACAGAAGCTTGTTTATGATCATAAGATAGTATCAAGAAGTTTTTAATAATTTTTTCCCCATTTTTGTTAAGCCTGCGACTAACAGCAAAAGTAGGCGAGACACTGGGTTCCGCGGAACCCTTACGAATTTTCTATTTTTGTCGAGCCTTCGACTTTTGTCGAAAAAGCGAGACATAGCGATCCTACATTCCGTCGTCGTCGGTGGCATCCACAAATATTGACTCTGTGGTTAAAGTTTTTGAAATTTTAATAACTTTCTTAAACTATCCTGGATTTCTACCAAACTTGGACAGAAGCTTGTTTAAGATCATAAGATGATATTCAAAAGTAAATTTTGTAAAAAAAAATTCCATTTTTTCCGTATTTTACTTATAAATGGACTTAGTTTTTCTGCCGGTTAACATAACATTCACTCTGTGGTTAAAGTTTTTAAAATTTTAACAACTTTCTTAAACTATCCTGGATTTGTACCAAACTTGGACAGAAGCTTGTTTATGATTAAAAGCTAGTATCTAGAAGGAAATTTTGTTAAAATTTTGTTCCATTTTTTCCGTATTTTACTTATAAATGGACTTAGTTTTTCTTCCAGTTAACATTACATACAGTCTGCAGTATAAGTTTTTAAAACATTTATTAGATTCATAAACTATCCTGGATTTTTACCAAACTTGGACAGAAGCTACTTGCAATCAAAAGGTAGTACAGAGAGGAACATTTTTATTAATTTTTTTCCTCATTTTTGTTGAGTCTGCGATTAACAGCAAAAGTAGGCGAGACACTGGGTTCCGCGGAACCCTTACAAATTTTTATACTTATTTGATGTATTTAAATGGGTTTTTATGGTTGCAAACTCCATTGGAAATTTGAATTGAGATTATGACCATATCTTGAGGAAAAGAATTTTCTTTTTGGAAAAAGGGGGGAGGTTAAAAAAAATAATTGTGTGTCACAATTGCTAATTCTTTGTATTTCCTCTGTAAACAGATTTACTAAGTATTGCGCAACAGCACAGTGTATTGCACAAAAGCAAGAAATTGAATATAAATTCAAATCATATAACCAATTCTAAGTTCTTTGACAACAGTTATTCTGTGTCAGAAACCTATTATGTGTCAAATATTTAATTACAATCCAAATTCAGACCTGTATCAAGCGCAAATATTGTGTCCATTTTTGACCCAACTGTTCAGGGTTGGACCTCTGCTGTCATATCCAGCTGCGCTTGGCGAAGCAATTTATTTAAATTTTAATAACTTTTTTAAACTATCCTGGATTTTTAACAAACTTGGACAGAAGCTTGTTTATGATCATAAGATAGTATCCAGAAGTAGATTCTGTAAAAAAAAAAAAAAAATATCCAGTTTTCCATATATTATTACTTATAAATGGACTTAGTTTTTCTGCCAGTTACTATTACATTCACTCTGTGGTTAAAGTTTTTAAAATTTTAATAATTTTCTTAAACTACTCTGGGTTTTTACCAAACTTGGACAGAATCTTGTTTTTGATCTAAAGATAGTATCCAGAAGAAAATGTTGTTTATGAGGAAAAAAATGCTTCCCATATTTCCTATAACACACAATTTTCTTATTTGCACATATATTCTACTTTTTTAGTTGCATCAATTATTTTGAACAAAATTTTTATAATTGCATCTTCTTAAATATTTACATGCATTTTTATTTAAGGGATAAATCATCAAGCAATGTAAAAATTATCTTCTTTATCATTTGTTCATTCAATAAATTTATGTTTCAACTATTTTATAAATCTATACAAATGATAAACATCTAAACTTCTTCCATCTTGTATGAGAAATCTTTTGCTATCACTTCTGTACAACAAGATTAAATTCATTAATTAATATGACTGTCTGTTCTAGATCTGTACATAAAAATATAGGTTGCATGCACAGTGTTATCCCTTCTTATGATTATTCCACTTAGGATACCATCAAGAGTGGAGTTCATTTGGAAAATTAAAGGATTTTCTGATCTTATTTTCATCAGATATACCAATATTGATTAACTTACTCTCAGAACCATCTGAAGAAAACCACAAAAATTTCCTGACAGCAATGCACAAAAACTTACATTAATAAAACAAATTTGACTTTATAAAAAAAATGGGGTTTTAAACAA